GCTTCATCTTATTTTGTTTTTAATTCACTAAATGAAGTTTCTGTTGGCAAATTGAGGAAAACTGTGAATACAAGGGAGGAACAGCTTCCCTAGTCAAGATGTTAAATGGCATCCGCAATGGGAAATATCTGCATAATTTTTACAAAACACAAATGTGCTATATAGCACCAAAATGTAGGCATTACACTTTGGAGAAATCTTGCTGATGTTATCCCCTGACAATCCTGGCACATCTATTTCATCTTTCAGGTCTTTTCAACTACTTACTCATGTACGTGCTGCCATAAAATATGAAAAGTTATAACATTTGGTCAATAATGGATGAAGCCTATTAGGAAGAGTATGGTGTCTTCCATTGTCTGTATATGCCATTAGACACACGACAAAGAGTAGTCTAGGTGTAGTTCACTGAGATACTTTCTTTAAAAAATACAAAGAAAAAAGAAAGTAAAAGAAAATTTTAGGAGCCTGCCTGGGGAGATGGCTCAGTAAAATAAGCACATGTCTGGCAAGTGCAAGGGCCTGAATTTAATTCTCTGTTCTGCCAAACAACAACAACAACAACACACCAAAGTATCCTAAAAAATTAAAACTAAAAAAGTACAAAATAGTGAAGAAAAAACATTAGATATGATACAAAACTTCTTTAAACAAAGTAATGGGAATTCCACAATGGTTGTTGTACTGCCTAATGTTACCTTCAAATTAGTTGTTTATGTTACTAGATATAAACCTGCAAAGCTGACTTTAAAAAAAGTTATAACAAATTGAAAATAAAAATAAAATAACATAAAATGTAAGCATTAACTGCCTCTTTTAACAGCCCAGTAGTACAATAATAGTACAATAGTAGTGCAATAGAAATCAGTATACAATTATCCAAACTATCCTTCATATATATAAAATTTTCCTGTTCTTTCTTTTGTCATTTTCCTCATCCCACTTTTTCCTCACCATTGAACATATTCTTTCCCTTTCACACTACCTATTGAACCTTTCAGATTTTATTTACTCTTTCCGGTTCTCATTCTAGAAAGACAAACCATGTTTGCACATGGGGGTCTAATTTGTCTCACTCAACAATACAGTCTCTAGTTGCATCCACTTACTTAGGAAAACCTCAAATTTATTCTTTTTTATAACTAAATAAGACTCCATTTTGTAAAAACACCACATTTTTTACCAATTAAATTTATGATGCAAGCATATGTACATTGCTGGCATGCATCTCCAACTGTAACTAAAATCATCAGATTTCTGAGAGAAATGAACAGTGTGTTTACCATGTTATAATAGGTGTGCTTTTTTTTTTGTCTGTTGCTTTGTGTTAGGTTTGCTTTTAGATTTCTGGTGTCTGTTTAGCCTCCCATATATCTCCTGCCTGAGAGACTGGAGGAACAGGAAACTAAATAATTCCACATGTCTCAGTATTACAAAGTGATATAGCTAAAATTTCTATGTAAAGTTTAACCTATTCTCTTGACCATCAGGAGGTAGTAATGTTCTGGTTCAACATAATTGGGTTGATGTGATGGTCTTCGGATCCCTGAAGGGGAAAAATACAATGGTTGTGTCTTGTGTGCTATGTTTGGTACCTCCACCATCACTTCTAGCCCATTTGCCTACACTTCCTGACTACTAGGAAATGAACTTCTGTGCTCTGCCACACTCTGTTGTCATAATATTAATTCCATGCAGCCAGCTGAGTGTGGTAGGAATCCGCTGAAGGCATGACTCAAATTAGACTTCTCCTCCTCTGATTGTAGGTGCATTGCGACTCATCTAAAGGAGAGCTGACCAAGGCAAATACTTTGCTTCGTGATACAGTGGAGATTTATAACTTCAGGTTTGCTAAGTTGTGCAGTTTAAACATTCACAGAACAATTTCTTTCTGTTAAGAAACCAATTGTCCATTTGAATATTCTCTTCCTATTTCCCAGTACCTACTGTACATTTTGGTCCTTGTTTATCCTTTCATTGTTCCATATGGGCAAAACAATGAGATGTTTAAACATTCAGATGGTAAGGGGAACAAGAAATAGAGGAAGGGTAAAGGAAAGAAGGGAAAAGAGAAAAATATAATAGAAGGAGGAAGAGTGACACAAAGCTTTTGTAAACAAGGAGGGGAAGAAAGGTTGAAAGGATAAGAAGACATTGGGGACACAAAGCAAAACTGAGCTATATCATATATGGATAAAAATACTCTCTGAAAAAAGTGATTATTATGTATATCTGAACTGTAACAATGATTAGTCAAAATAATAATAATAAGAAAATGGAGACCAACTGTTGTTAACAAATTTCACCTCTTTCCTAGGATATCTAAACTACAGCCAGTCACAATCTTACCACCTAAAAAGATTTTTGTTTGCTGAGCTTAAAGATTTTATCCCTCTGGCCTCTTTCAATATTTGCTTAGAGAATTAAACTATTTAATTATAAATTATTGAATGTTTTATAATGAATATTATTATTTTTAGGTTTTTTTGGTGCATTGACACTGACTTGGAACTTAGTTGGTTATTAATAATTGTGGAGTTAGCCAAAATTAAGAAAAATCATTAAACAATTAAATAACTGCATAAGTTTCACAATATGAGATTAACTCCTGCTTAGAATTTATTGAAAGGTAAGCCATCTCATTGTTTAAATGAAAAATAGCAATGGTAGGAGACACAAGCTTAATGATCAGTGGTGTTAACCAACCACATGATACCTCTATGATACTATCTTATGGGTCACTTCAAAATTTGAATTTATTTTATTCCAAATTCAGAACCCATATGCTATCAATAATGTCAGTATATTTCAATGTCCTTTCAACAGTTTATATATACTGTACTCTTTATTTTTTTGAAACTGGGGATTGAACTCAGGCCTTGCACTTGCCAGGGAAGCACTTATTCCGCTGAACCATCTCCCTGGCCCCAAAATATGAAACATCCCTGAGGGATTTTTTTTTTTTTTTGGTTGTTGTTTGTTGATTTGTTTTCGGAACCAGGGATTGAATTTAGGCTCTTGCACTTGTCAGGAAATGTTTATTCCACTGAGCCATCTCCTTGGCCCCTTAGCCATCTCTCCCACCCTCAAATTTTAATCTTTTCAAATTAAAGTAGCAGAATTATCAATCTTTGTATGAAAGTCATAGTATTACTTAAGAATGAACTCATTATTAAGCCTGAGTGTATTATACTATTAGACTCACATATGAGGATTTGGACCTATATAAGAGATATTTTTTTAAATATTGTTCTAGGGTATTGGTCTCTGTCTTCTAATTAAAATTTATTCATGAATAAAAGTGGGCTCTATGTTATATCATGCACAGTTAAATTTTTATACATTAAGTGAATGCTGTATTGCATCGAAGTATTTTTCTCAAAACCCCTAAACTCTTCACATTTTAATAACTTTATATATGACATGCTTACTTGTGGCTAAAATGAAATTAATAAATTATGACCATTTAGTTTTCAAATCAAACAAAATATTTCAACTTTGTGTACACATTGCAGTTAGTCAATATGGGTTGAATGTCGCTCTGCCCCAGAATTCATGAGTAATTTAGAGTACTTCCTGTGAACCATTCTCCTTGATTTAATGTTCAGAGTAGAAAAACATTAAGGTGACAATTTGAATAAAAAGAGGAATTATTGTCTAAAAAGTACTTTGAATACTTTGAGTAATCCCTTTATCTAACTCTCAGGGTGAAATAGAATATAAATTTAAAAAAAAAGATTTGATAGTAGAGGGAAAGAAGTCTTATATAATTGATCTGTACAAGGTTGGATATATATGTATTGGGATAGAAAGCTAGCCATATATATAATATATATATATATATATATATTTCTTTATCAGGGCTGGGCCTGTATTTTGGGTCTCATTGGTTCAAGTTAAGCTTCTACACTGTGTTTACCCTTATGTCAGGGTTCTAGAAGTACCCCATTTTTAAGCTTTGATTTTCCCAAGCTACAGAATAGATGCTGTAACTTCACAGCTGCATCTTACAGACGCTTATACCATATGTTGACATTCAGAATATCCTTTAAATAGAAACAGCAATGCCATTTTACAACGAAGAGATGTGCTAAACTATTAGGCAAATTGATTGGAATTAATATTATTTTGATTAAGTCTGGATTTAATCTACTTTTGACATTCTCCTTTTAACACTTTTCAAAATCCTATTAGCTTATATAGATGATTAGCATCTCCTGGACTCTGAATTTACAATCTGAAAGTTTTTCTCACCATAGCCTTCTCTTCATTTTCATGACTTAAATCCAAGTATTAAAAAGACATTTGAAAAACTGCTTAAATATTATTTAACTTAAAGTTTGAAACTGCTTGTAGTGACATCACTAATTATCCTTTCAAAAGTCAAACACCATTCTTAAAACAGGAAAGCAAAAGGAAGCAAATGCATTTGCCAGTCCTGAGTAATGTACACAAGGCATGTGGAAATATTACATACACATCCGTCTTTAGTTCTCAATAATAAGCAAAGAAACAAGTAATGCAGTGGTATAATTATGCTTTCCCTTCAAGAGAATCAAGAAATTGGCGCTGTCCATATGCTAGGAAATTCATTTTCTTTTTGGAAAGCTTAGAAAAGACTTCAAGATCCTCTTGTTTACTATTACCAAACCCACGCCAATCCTTGAGTATCCACAAGAATTAGAAGAATAAATAGGAAGGGCCGGCCAAATAGCTCAGTGGATTAAAGCACCTGCTTACAAACTCAAGGGCTGGGGTTTGATCCCTGGGCCGTGCTGGCCCAACACCCAGGGTGCCTTGAGACAGCAATTCAGACTGGGCGAGGTGATACGTTCCTGTAATCCCAGTGCTTGGGAGGCTGGAAACAGGCGGATCACTATGAGTCTGATATAATAGCGAGACCCTGAACACCCTGTAGCCCCTTCTGTAAAATACAAAAGAAAAAGAAAAAAAAATAAATGAGGGCACATTGTACTTCCTTTAAATCAGCTATAATAGTAATACTTACCTGGCAGAGGAGATACCATGATCAGGAAGGTGGTTTCCCAGTGCGAGGCTCATCCATTGCACTCTGGATGTGCTGACCCCTGCAGTTTCCTCAAACATGGGAAACTTGTCTGCATAATTTGTGGTAGTGTGGACTGCATTTGTGCTTTAGCCTGAAAAAAATATTCAACTATAGTAGCAAAAGATGTCTAAAATTTTAGGGCTGGGAGATTGCTCAGTGGTCTAATCGCCTGCCTGACAAGTGCAGGGACCTGGGTTTGATACCCAGGTACTGCACGCAGTACGTGCCCCACATGGAGCCAGTTATCTCGGCTTGGTGTGGTGGCATATGATGTGTATAGTCCTAGTTTTGGGAAGGCTGAGACAAGAAGATCAGTACACTTCCAAGCTGCTTAGCGAGACCCTGTATCAAATAAAAGATTTTCAAAAACGTAAAATTGTACATAAAATACTTTTTCAGTTCAAAGTTAAATCTGTAGTCTAAAATGTATTTTGTATGACAATGACAAGTTAAAGACTGTTATGGTTTGTGTGTATTTTTCCCCAAAGCCTCATGCTGTCATTGAGGCACAGTTCTACAGTTTATGATTAATTCATGACCCAGGGCTGGGATTATGGGTCAGAGTACTGCTGGGATTATGGGTGTAAGAGCTACACCCAGCCTGGGGTGGACAGTCTGAATTCTGAAATAACTTTAGAGAGACAGAGAGACAGACTTGCTCTCTGCAGCCATTATTACCACTCCTACTCCCATTTTTTTCTTGTTCTTCCCCCACCCCCCCCGGAACTGGAGATTGAACTCAGGCCCTTGCACTTGCCGGGGAAGCGCTTATTCCACTGAGCCATCTCCCTGGCCCAATTTTTTTCTTGTTCTTATGTTGTTTTTCTCCACCATGAGCTGCTGCCCTCTGTCCCGTGCCACTCTTCTTTGGAGCTAGCCGAATATGGACTGAAACCTCCAGAAGCTAAACAAATCTTTCCTTCCTTCATTCTGAGTGTTGAGTGCTTGTCTCAGCAACAAGAAAAGAGTAACTGAGTCTTATACCACAATCTCTCCAAGCTGAAGTAACGGGAAAGAAACACAAAGTCCCTAAACCTACTACAAATATTAGATTTCAAGTGTAACAAAGACCAAAGGGCTAAGTCAGCTGTTAGCTCTCAGACTCCTGAGAACAGCTGATTTTACACTTTCTGAACCACATGGAGCATAAAGAAGGAGATTAAAAAAAATTCCAAAGAAAATGCTGCATAAATTTCCACAAAAAAGGAAGAAAAGGACCTGAGAATACAAGCAGGACTTAACTTTTCCAAGAAAGTATACTTCTCTGAGCTTAGTGGTAAGAAAAAGATTGTGTTTACTGAGAATTCCAGTTTAAAGACTGTCTTTATGGGTGTCTTTTGTTCCAATTTTGGTAACTTTTTGTCTTACAGGTATTTGTTATTTCAGGATTTCTTTTTCCTGACACAAGGTACAAATTTATACAAATTGAATAAAAGAACTAGCAGTTTATACATGATGACACAGCTGTAAGAAATCTGCCCCATGTTTTTTTAAATTTTAATTAATTAAGTAATTTATTTATTTATTTGGTACAGGGTCTTATTATGTAGTTCAGACTCATAGTGATCCTCCTGTCTCAGCCTTTCCAGGACTGGGATTGCAGGCATGAGCTACCATGTCCAGAGTTCCAGGTCACCATGACATACAGTATTGGTGATGGAACTAGGGTCTTGCGCTTGACGGACAGGTGCTTAGACTTCAGAGGTATCGCCCTGGCCCCCCATGATAGGTTTTTAGTTTGTATATTGCATGATCTGTCCAGCAGGTCATACCAACCCTGGGCATGGGATGCCTAACCATGGAAGATCATGACCAATTGAATGGAGATTTGACCTCTGAATACGGCTGAATGAAAGGTATTTTTTTCTCTGAAATTTCTAATTAGATGTCCAGAATTCTAGTTAGCCTACAGCAGTGATGGCAGACCTGTGACATGTGTGCTACTTCAAGCTGTTTAAATCATTGACAGTTCTAAAAGGTTTGCTATCATTGGTCTATAGAAACACAGCAGAAAGGTACATAAATGAGTAAATGTGAAAAGCATCTAAAAGGATAAAAATGAAATATCAGGTAGCCAAGAAACAACAAATAAATTTTTGCTTCATTCCTACAATCCCTCAAGAGAAACTCATATTCCTCTGGTAAATTGTCTTTTACTAATTGCAACAAGTTTGGGCAGGTTTCTAACCTTCAAACTCAATGACCCCAAGTGTAATAGAATTTAAATGTTGTTTGGGCTCCAATCTTTTGCTGTAGTTACAGTTACAGCAACTGAGGCGGAAGGATGTTGTGGGAACCTTTCGGAGTTTCTTAATGATTTTCTGAGGTTCTAGATCACCTCCTGCCGAACTATTCTATGAGGTGTGATCAAAAGTTACTGCGAATGATTAAGGAAATAATATTACAGTAGGAGACACATTGTCATTAAATGTTCTCAAAGTATTCTCCTTGGCCTCTTACATACATATTCCATCACCCTCACCATCTCTATGAAGCTGTCTATTGTGAGCTTCTTTAACTGTGCTGTCATGGCTGTCACTGTGTCCTGAATTGATTCAAAATATTTATGGCATGTGCTATGAAATGAAAGCATTGCAGTGTGTCCTAACCACTGTATTCACTGGACCTGGCACCGACTGACGTTTGGCCCTTTCCAAAAGCCCAACGACCACAAAATAAGCGATATGGATCATTTCAGGATGTCAAGGCAACCACAGCAGTACAACTAAAGGTAATTATGAAAGAGGACTTCCAGAAGTGCTTCAGAAAATGACAAGAACAATGGGATAAGTGTGCTTTTAAAGGGAGTGGTGTCCTGAGAGAGACTGTTGTAGTGTCTCTTAATGTGATGTCCTTTCAGATTACACATCCTATTTTCTGATCACACCCAACATACTCAATCTTTAGTATTGACACTTTGCTTTAATTTTGTATTAGAGAAACTTGTGTGCACATTGTTATTCTACACTTGTAAAGTTGGTGAGCCTTCCCTTTCTCATGACAGTCAAATAAGTATATTTATACAATCAGTAATGCCTCCCAGAGAACTGTGTTTGGTATAGCAGATATGTGAAAAAAAAAAGAAACTGAAAATATAAAATACTATGACTAACAAAGAATATGTTCACAGTCAATAAGTAATCAGTATCTGCCATAGTCAATCTCCAGTTCTGTTAACGCACCTTCCAAAGTGCATGTGCTCATTTCACTTGTCCCTGCAGTACATAACAGCCAGTTTTATAACAAGTACACTGTTGTACAGTTTGTGAGTGGTAGCCCTTGGCGACAGGGTTGCTGCCCTAAGCAGATGTCATGCTACAGAAAATGGGTAAGCCCTTCACATTCTTCAGGATGTTCCTCAGTTGTACGTCCTTACATTTTACCTATGTAACAGTCTTAAGTGAATTACGATTATATCGTCATCATAGGACATGATGTATTTTAGTGCCAAAATGAGTATCTATAATAGTGGTTAGATTATTTTTTTTCTTTTCTGTCATTGCATAGGTAACAATACAATCTAGATTGCTTTCTTTGGTGTATATTTGGAATTCACATATCACTGGCAAAGAACAAGCAACACAGACAAAAACGTAAAACTATAGTAGCAAAAATATTCTTCAAAAATTTCTTGTATCATGATTTCTTTCCTTGATATGAGTCTAATTCTATCCTTGATGCATGCATTCAGGGACATCAGAAGACAGTATACTGAGATAATAATAACTATGTATATACTATGTTCTTTCTCTATATATACCCATGATAAAATGTAAAGATTAATAAGAGATAATCAGTAATAATACTAATATGGAATAATTCTAACAATATGTTATAATAGACGTTGAATGTAGTATCTTATCACCCATTGTTTTAAATATGTTTTTGTATGTTATTTTTTTGTTTTATTTTATTTTATTTTATTATTTTGCCATACTGGGAGTTAAACTCTGGACCTTGTGCTTGCCAGGTAGACACTTAAGGCACTGAGATTATATAAAGCACCCTCACACTTTTTATAATATGAGATATTATGGCTACATGATGAGATGAAGTAAAACGCTTGTTTCCTATTTGTGTCTTTAACCCACAAATTGAATAAAAAAAAAGTTGGGGTGAAATGTTTTATTGTTTTGTACTAATGTGATTAGAAAAGTTGTCTTCGGGATATTGACAATTAAGTTGAAACCTGCAAAATAGAAGAAGATCCTTCCAACTTCTGAGGAAGAAATGTCCTGACACAGGACAGTAACACACAAAGAACACGAGGACAGCACAGCCCTCCTCAGCATGGCAGGCTGAGGGTTCTGTCGCACAAGGAACTGTGCGTTCACTGCCCTGTTGCATGATCTATGCCAGTGGCCATTTAGAAAATACACGTTAACACTAGTGAAGGATCTTGGGGATCCAGTGCAGTGGTATGGTACACACGTGGCTGGTGGAGGACTCTTTTGGCCGATTCATAGCTTATGCGAAAGTCTTTGCTGACTTTCTGGGAAAAAAAAATTACTTAAAGAAGAAAAATGCTGGCAATGTAGGACAAAAAATGTCAGGTTTATTCGGTGTTTAAAAAAGAAAGAGATTATCTGATAGAAATTCTTTTACGACAAGGTAATGATAGAAATAGGAAGGTTATTATTATGTAGTTCAAGTAATTTCTTACTGAATATATAGAATGAGAGGAAGGATATACACAAGCACATAATTGGAAAAGATAGAAAAAAGGTTTTTTTTATTTATTTATGTACTTCACTTGATTTACTCTACTGATTTTGGTTTACAAATTATAAATCTCATAATGTCAACAAGTCCAAATCAATGGGAAAAATGTGTAAAATTGCACAAAAATGCAGATTTGTCTACTCTAACTCTAGTTTTCATGCTCTTTCACCTTGTCATTTAAAATTATATGTTTTAACCAAACATTATTAGCCAAAACAAAGAAAGCAGAACAATTTAGACTTTATACAACTTAGAATAATCTGTAAAGTGCTGAAAGAATAAAATAACACTAATAGAGATAATTTTCCTATGGTATTTTACAGAGACGCTCCTAACAAAACATTAAAGGACAAGATAGAAGCTATGAATTCC